TTTGTGTTTGTTTATTTTTCCTGGGTTGTGCGCTTCTTTTTGCTTTTTTGGTCTGCGGGCTCACCTTGTTTTTTCCATTTATTTTGTTTTTTTACTCGTTTTAGTGATTTCCGGTCTTTGATGGGTCTTGATCATCATAAATCTACTGTAGATACCTTGTGAACCTACTGAAAGCCATCTTGTTTGATTTGTTCACTCGTGACCTTGCACCGAGAGTCACCCACATGCTTGGCTTTACGTGAGTATTGGCACTGACGCAGTCACCACCAAGTGAATGTACTCGACGTCACAGGGAGGCCAAATCCAACTTGAGGTCTTGGCCATTTGAGGTCTTGGCCATTTGAATGCCACCCGGAATGTCCTTTCTTTCTTTAATAACAAATAACATCAAATAACAATTCAGGCAGATTCCTGAGGTCAGCTTGAGGGCAGATTTCTGGGAGGACGATATTCATGTGATATGCTGGAACATGGTGAGAGGCTGTGTACACGAGCGATGCACAGGCTGGGATGACTTGCACACCTATGTGGTTCGTGAGCTGGAGATGAGTGCGGGTGAAAGGGGCTGTGCAGGGAGGCCTAGGGATTCCTTGCGAACCTTGCGGGAAGTTGTATGGGGAAGAGTGGAGGGTTGTTGTGTTCTGGTGGGCTCACAATTACATTGTTGAGTAGATTTGTCCACATGTTCTATTATTCATTCTATGAATGATGCATTGTTCTGTCATCCCCAAACTTGCCAAGACCACCCAATATCCAAAGAGTTCATTCCCAAGACTAGCATGGAGGATCATGGAGGTGACTTTAATAATCATCACACACTTGACGAGTCCAACAAAAATGGAGAACACACACACACACACACGCGCATGGCCTCTTGGAAGACCACTTCAATGTTTCTGGACTCACCATCCTCGTTTCGAGCGATCCCATACGATGCCCTATGCCCCAGTGCGCCCCAGGCTTTGTCGCATATCCGAGCGTGGCGCCGGTGTGTCGACAAGCGTCGGCGGCCTCGTTGGAGATTGTTTCGACGCGGGTAGCGAGTTGTTGAGGGTTGGTTTCCCGTCCATGATGTGGCTAGGGGACTATAGAGGATCCCTTTTGCATTGACCTTGGGGTTGATGTAAAGCTCCTTAGGCATGTTCGCAGAGAGAATATAAGAGAAATCAGTTGCCATGAGTCATGAGTGTGTTTCTGGGATAGACATTGGTTTGAACGAGAATAACGTGTTTGCACAGAGCTGTTCGCGTGGGGATCACTAATGGAGTTAGTTGTTGGATGCAGATGCTTTGCTTGACATGCTTCCGGTGCTGAAATCGAGGTCAGCCCTTGCTCGCAGTAGCCTCAGAAAGGCTTCGCCAGACTATGCCAGACTAGTAGTGTAGAATTCCCACAAACTCCCAGTGAAGACAAGGTGCTTTACAAGCCATAATAGGCTATGGCCAATCATGACGCAACTCAGTGAAGTGCGATTTCTTGATTTCGCGAAGACAGAGCCATCAGCTCTAAGAGGTGTTTGTCGAAGCAATGCCGGCCCTTCGAGCCATCGCACCGGGGCTGGACCGACCTCCGAGGTCATAGAGGACGACGCGGTACCAACGAAGGACTTTACGGAGGAGCGGTCAGACCGGTCACGCCGGAAAGATCGGCCCGGACAGGCCAATGGATCTATAGAAGTGCAGTATTTCCAGGTTTACTTTCTGTAGGGGATTGCTGCAACAATTACCCGTCAAGTGTTGAAAGTGTCAAGGATGGATCATGATGTTGCCTTGTGTATTGTCAGGCTTGCAGAAGCTTCAGAAGCAGGGCTCAAGCACATGGAATGTTAGGGTCAGATGATTTACATGTTTGAAAGTCAATAAATTAAAGGAATTGTATATTCAGTGATATTTAGTGTATTCCGTCCGAACCTTTTATGCCCGTCCGGCCCAAACGAGCATGCAGCGTTCTCAGCTTCAAGAGTCCACCGTGGACTCCACCGTTTGCAACCGATCGATGCTGCCGTTGTCGAGCAACCGATCAACTGGCAGGTCTTGAAGCAAGCATTGACAAGCTTGCCAAGAGATGCGGACGTGCTGTATCTGGGCTATTCTCAGGCCGGGTAGTGGGTGGGCAAGTGTGGCAGGAAGATGAGTGGACAGCGCGGATGAGATTGGATGATTGCCCAGTGGCCAAAACACGGAGTGTTTGATCAATTCAGCAGTTTAAGTCGTTGTTTTGAGAAGGGCTTCTTGCAGGGGTCAATCCTCAAGGGGATGAGTTCCGTGGTGACCGTCGACCCAAGATGGCAGCCAAGATTATGATTCAACCTGTTGAATCCCGCACGTTCATGAATCCAGCGGAAGGCCAACGCACTGTGTCGTTCACTGGCAGGTTTCGTGTTACCGGTGGCGGGTTCGCTGGTTCGGTTGTTGTGTCATCGGCAGGCTGCAGAGTGGCGGAGGCAAAGCTCCCACCTGGCAGAGGCCATATGAGAGGTAAACAGCGGTCGAAGATGAGAGGTTTAGCGGTCACATGTGCTGGAGGGTCTCTTTCCTGGGGTGTACTTGTGAACCTATTGAGAAGCCAGGTGTTGGCCAAGCGTGAACCTATTGTAATTGATTATTGTATATATATATATATTGATTTTCCTTTCTCATGTTCTTTATATACACTTGAATATTCTCAGCAATCCGTTCATACTACTAAGAAGAGGACAAAGAATGTTCTCAGGTTCTCTGCGGCTTTGAAGAAGAGCATCACTACTCTCAGCAAGCCAGCCATTGGCTTAGTAGTATTAGTAACTATTAGTTTTTGAGAAAAAACTTTGCACAATTGAGGATCCTAAATTTTCAAGATAGTAGACCAGGAAGGCCTACTATCTTGAAAATTTGTTTAGGACGAGCATTATTTGTATAAATGGCTGATTAAGGAACTGATGGCTTTGGGAAGCTGTAAGTTTTGAAGAACTAGAGAAGCTAGCCATTGGCTTAGTCGTATTCAGAACTATTTTATAATTGATTGAGAAAAAACTGCACAATTGAGGATCCTTAAATCAAATTTCTATTTGAGGACCGAGGGCCTTCCTGGTCTACTATCTTGAACACTTGTTTAGGAGCAATCTTTACATGAACGATTGATTAAGGAGTTGATGTCTTTTGACAGTTTTGAAGAAGAACCAGAGAAACCTTTACATATAAATAATCTCAGCAAGCCAACCTTTAGCTTAGCAGTATTATAGTAGTATTGACAGATCTGCGAATGATTTAACACCCTGAATATGTTTCATACACATAATAAGAACATAGGAGCCAAAGAAAGTTAGCATAACAGAGCTAAAACAATCATGGTATCAAACATTGTTGCATTATAGAGGGCCCTATTACGAATCAGCATCCAGCATTACTGCAAAATATGTTCTTAATGACTCATACGTTACGATAGTCCAACGGATTTGTAGCAAATCAGCAAATCTGGCATAGACTGACCATATCCTTTGAATTTTTTGGAGTAGACGGGTACATGTTGTAACTTGGTGTTCATGTGTTCGAGCTGTGTGCGAGACCGTGGTAGAGGGGCCACCAATCGCGGGGAGAGGGACAAGAAAGAAAAGCCCCGGCAGGCGGAGTACGTTTGGACCACCGTCGCGTGCCTTTGCGGATTGCTGATTTCTAGATTCTGCACTTCAGCGGGTAGGTAGATGTCTTTGGACGTGAACGGATTGTGAGAAAATGTTAGTCTTCCACACAAGGTGCATTTGTCAGCAAAATGACATCCAGACACTTAGCCGTTTTGCTCAACAGGTACATGGTTTGGCCAGAAGGTGCTCGAAAGCTTCTGTCCAAGCACCTTCGCAAAACATTGGCTCAATGTGGGTAATAAAACTGTTTAAATCGTCTATGGTTCGTTGCAGCCACACATGTTGACCTCGCGCGCTGATAGGTAAGACGTACAAGTCCCTTTCTGCACATGTGGTTTGCATGTGAATATGTTCTTTATTTAGACTTTATTTAGTCATCCATGTTCATCCAAATTCTGATCGGATGAGCTGGCTTTAGATTCTAAAACTATTTTGCTCACAAGATGAGACTATACTTATTATAGCTATCTCAGCTCTGGAAGAGTTCGGTTGATGTATACAGTCTCAGCATCTGGTGGAAGCCTTGCCGGATATATGACGATATTATAGATATATAGCATGATATTAGCACCATGTGATGTTTGTGTGGTTTGTTTGTGCCTGAACATGTGATGTTTGTACCTGAGGCTCCCAGTGAACCAGCCAGTGGACAACTTTATGGCCACACTTTGCGCAGATGGAGACATCAAGGTCTCGCAAATGGAGACATCACTCTTGCCGTCTCTCAGTGTGGAGTCGTTTTTTGGGATTTACACACATGGGTGTCACTTCATGCGAAGGAACTACTAGCTTAATATGACACCAGGTACTAAACTGCCACATATTCTCTTCAGATCTTAATTCTGCAAGTACCTCCGCACTGGCAGCCTTGTTCCTTCAAATTCTTGGATGTCCTCCATGTCCCTTGGTCAGAACCCATGGTGTCCTTGTCCTTCCGGAGGTCACTCCGGTATCCTTCCGGAGGTCACTGTCCCAGTCCGTTGCATGGAACGTTCGCCTGTGTCCGCGTCGAGGCGTACTGCACACTCCCGAAGATTGTGCACCAAGCCGATGGCTGGAATGTCGGGACACTCCCAGGAAAGCGTCAATGTCGGACGCCGACATCGTGGTTTTTTTTGTTTTTCCGAGTTGAAGAAATTAGGTTGGATCATTTATTTCTTTGCCTGGTCCATTCAGACGATTTCAACACCGAAACGGTCGATATTTCTTTGGGAAGGTAACAGATTCAGTTTCTCCAACTGATGCGCAACTGCCAGCTTGTGGCAATGTGCACAAGTAATGACCGAACTTGACCACCTTTGGCACCACTCCGCACTGAGTGTTTGCCCTACATTGCTCAGACTAGAAGTCGCAACATGAGGATTTTGCCGTGCACAATTGTGCACACCAAGAGAACAATTGAACTCATTAAAATATAGCGCGAACTTCTCGGACAGTCGCCGACACGAACTCATTAACATATAAACACAAGATGCGCAATACATTGTAATGCGTTGAAACAAAACATGCCGACGACGTGCAGACGACTGAGCAGCCGGGTCACCAAGCAGGGTCACCGAGCCGAGCGTCCACTGAGCGAGGTCAAGTCCGATGTGGGCCATTCAGACGAGGCTCCAGCACCCGGTGTGGCCACTTGTCTTGCCTATGCCCGCCGTGTACGTGCCGTGTACGTGCCGTGTACGTGCCGTGCCTAAGAAAGGGTCAACGGCTGTTCCAAGGGCGGGAAGGAAAGGAACATTGACAGGCAAAATGCCTGGGTCATTGTGAAGTGACTTTTTATACTTGCCTGGGTCATTGTGCCCCTCATATGGCCTGTTCATAAGTCACCCAAAGCCACGTGGTGCGATGTGTGTGTTATCTTGAGGTCTCATTTGTGGCCTATCAACTCTGGGCACTAGTTAAGTCTGCAAATGTGTTTACTGGACATGTCATCAATGTGTAATGTGTACGTAGATCACGTGTTTCTGTGTAGTAATATGTATATTGGTATCTATGTCCATGGATTCAGGCAGTCCTCCTCTACTCCCTATGGGCTCATCTGGGCCCAGCCGGCCAAAAGGCCTGGAATCATTGGCCTTATTGGAACACGACGTGACATGTGCCCAACATACCCTTCTTGTTCCAAAGTCCTCTTTGGTCCATCCCTGAATGCACTGGATTTCTCAAAAAGTGTGGCACCTTGCGGCAACTTGCGGCACTCTGTGCAACTCGTTGTCCGCAGTTCTAAGATGGCTTGATGGCTGTTTTACGGATCCACAGACTTCTAAGGTGACATCTGATGTCTTTCACACTGACGACAAGTACTGGGGCTGCGGCCAGATCCCAAGCCAGTTCTTGTTTGCCTTGTGTGGTGCTCGTCTCACGCAACCTTTGTGTGATCTTCAAGCACACTGTTTTGGCAGAGTTCTGCTGATCATTTCTGTCGTTCTTTCTTTCAAGGTCACAGATAATGATTTCTGCAGCGGACAATATGTTTAACTTGTGTGTGGTTTTTCTTTTTTTTAACCGATGGCTCAGGTGTCAATCATGCAACAACACTTCCTAGAAGTTGTTCACATGTCACACACACCTCAGAAGAAACACTGTGAGCAGTGCCCAAACCCAATCTATATAAGCAATTCCTGTGAAGATCTGCAAATCGTACAACCAGATCTCTTCAAACCAGACAGTGAACCATCAGGTATTCTGAGAAAGAAAGCTGGAGGAGTACTGTATTCCAAGTGTTCAATTGGAAATGCAAGTTTCTCGCAGGTTCCAAGGTTTGCGGGCTGCGATGGGTTGAAAGACAATGCAAGGTGTCCTACGGTGCAACAAAATGCTGCCTGTGAGCAGGGCGATATGGTGGACCCAAGGCATGCTCCACTCCCTGAAAGGCGTGCCTTTTTGTGGAATTGGCAAGAAACTGAAAGCATAGTTTTTCATCCTGCCCATGCAGCCACCACCCAACTCTAGGAAAAACCTTGCACAATGTCAGAGGTCAATGCGGTCTATGTGAGCAACTACTTTTATTTAGGCTTCACTAAAGTAGTCTAGGGCATGCTCTAATAGTCTATATCATCAGTATTCGCTTGTGAACGAGATAGGGCCCCCACATCAACGAGATACTTTTGCTTGATGACACATGATGACACTAAACTGAGCGAATTATTGCGAGCTCACTTCGCGAGGTACGAGGTAGAATAATTTCAAAACAAAATTATGCGAGGTGAGTCCAGCACCAGGACTCCACCAAGCCAAGCAGCCTTCTTGACGTCTCAGGCCCTAGCCAGGCCTACTGGGTAAGGAACCTGTGCTGAGCAGCTCAAATAGGCAAGCCCCAAGAAACAATCCTATTTTGGCGAAATAGGATTTCATGATTGGGGATTGGTTTGCAGCCTTGTTGATGTTGTCTTAAGCCCTAGCCAGCCCCACTAGGTCAGGAAACTGTGCTGAACAGCTCAAATAGGCAAGCCCCATAAAACAACCCTATTTTGGCGAAATAGGGTTTCACGACTGTGGATTGGTGTGCAGCCTTATAGATGCTGTCTTAATCCCTAGCCAGCCCCACTAGGTCAGGAAACTGTGCTGAGCAGCTCAAGTAGGCAAGCCCCATGAAAAAGCCCTATTTCGGCGAAATAGGGTTTCACGACTGTGGTTGGTTTCCACCCTTGTTGATGTTGTCTCGGGCCCTAGCCAGCCCCACTAGGTATGGAAACTGTCCTAAGCACCTCAAATAGGCAAGCCCCATGAAAAAGCCCTATTTTGCCGAAATAGGGTTTTACGACTGTGGATTGGTTTCCACCCTTGTTGATGTTGTCTCAAGCCCTAGCCAGCCCCACTAGGTCAGGAAACTATGCTGAACAGCTCAAATAGGCAAGCCCCATAAAACAACCCTATTTTGGCGAAATAGGGTTTCACGACTGTGGATTGGTTTGCAGCCTTATTGATGCTGTCTTAATCCCTAGCCAGCCCCACTAGGTCAGGAAACTGTGCTGAGCAGCTCAAGTAGGCAAGCCCCATGAAAAAGCCCTATTTCGGCGAAATAGGGCTTCACGACTGTGGTTGGTTTCCACCCTTGTTGATGTTGTCTCGGGCCCTAGCCAGCCCCACTAGGTATGGAAACTGTGCTGAGCAGCTCAAATAGGCAAGCCCCATGAAAAAGCCTTACTTTTGCGAAATAGGGTTTCACGATTGTGGATCAGTCGGTAAGGAAACGCCCTTCTCGCTTAAGCACTCCCGACCCGCGCGCAACGTACACGCGCGCGCGCGCGCAACGTGGGAAAAGAGAAAAAGTTTCCAGAGGGTGGGGTCGGGCCTGAGCCTCGTGCTACGACGGTCGCGGTGTTTCCAACTAGGCCGCTCGCGCGTCGATTTGGTAATTTGGGTCCCTAGTTCCAAATCTTAAAACAAACCCAACCTACCAAGGCCTAGAAGTAAAGATCATGAACCGCACAGCTCTAAAAGGCAAGCCCCCTGAAACGACCCTATTTCGGCGAAATAGGGCTTCACGACTGTGGATTGGTTTGCAACCTTCTTGCTGTTGTCTCGGGCCCTAGCCATCCCCACTAGGCATGGAAACTGCGCTGAGCAGCTCAAATAGGCAAGCCCCATGAAACGACCCTATCTCGGCGAAATAGGGTTTCACGACTGTGGATTGGTTTGCAGCCTTGTTGATGTTGTCTCGGGCCCTAGCCAGCCCTACTAGGCATGGAAACTGTACTGAGCAGCTCAAACAGGCAAGCCCCATGAAACAACCCTATTTCGGCGAAATAGGGTTTCACGGCTGTGGATTGGTTTGCAGCCTTGTTGATGTTGTCTCGGGCCCTAGCCAGCCCCACTAGGCATCGAAACTGTGCTGAGCAGCTCAAATAGGCAAGCCCCATGAAAAAGCCCTATTTTGGCGAAATAGGGTTTCACGACTGTGGATTGGTTTGCGGCCTTGTTGATGTTGTCTTAGGCATGGAAACTGTGCTGAACGGCTCAAGTAGGCAAGCCCCATGAAGCAACCCTATTTTTGCGAAATAGGGTTTCAGGACTGTGGATTGGTTTCCACCCTTGTTGATGTTGTCTCGGGCCCTAGCCAGCCCCACTAGGCATGGAAACTGTGCTGAGCAGCTCAAACAGGCAAGCCCCATGAAACAACCCTATTTTTGCGAAATAGGGTTTCACGACTGTGGATTGGTTTGCAGCCTTGTTGATGTTGTCTCAGGCCCTAGCCAGCCCAAGTAGGTCAGGAAACTGCGCCTTGCAGCTCAATTAAACATAGACCACCCCCCCTTAAGAGAACACTTTTTTTTCAAAGGCTTTGGAGCCACCCACCCGCTCACTCGTGCCAGCCAAGCACAAGCAAACCCCGATCAGCCACGTCCCTCCCAAGGGGTGCGTGTGCTGGTTGGGTCAAGAAGACAGATAGACAGACAGACAGAGAGACAGAGAGACAGCCCACCCAGCCAGCCTGCCAGGAGCCAGGCAGGCAGACGAGGTGACTGAAGTTATTCAAATTAAACGAGGCGAGGTGAATAATTTCAAAACATTGAATTAAGACGAGGTACGAGGTGAACGAAATTAATGAAATTAGTTTAATTCACCCAGACTAAAGTAGTCTGAACGAGATAGTGTGATCTGCTACTAAAGTAGTCTGAACGAGATACAGTGACATGACCTCCTACTCAAGTAGTCTAAACGAGATAGCGCCCCCACATAATTAATAGTGAATTTGGGTTTAGTACCAAATACATGCTGCCGCACATGTATACTGCATAATCAGATTACTCAGTGCTCAGTACCTGAGCACGACAGGTTTGATCGTTCACCTGGCTCGGTTCTCACCATTTCGGGTGATTCCGAGGCCCAGCCAATCCGCACTTCGTGTGTAGCTTCGGCTTTGGGTCCTCGGACATCGTCAAGTCGGATGACCGCTACTGGGGGTTCGACGCTCAGCCCTTGCCGTCGCGGCCTGCCGGCGCGGACTGCAGTGAGATGAGACGTTAAGTGTTTGGAAAATCTTGGAAATACGATGCTGAGGTAGAAGAGCTTGTGCCCTACAACTGGGGTGTTGAGGGCCTCTGCCCACAGCCACGCGCCGTAGAGCCTTTTGGTTGCTCACTTTCTTACGGAGCTATTGAAACATATTGGCATCTAGGGCACAGCAGAATCTCCCCCAAGACAAACCATAGACCTTAGACTACAACAATGACCGACAATGACAGAGCACAAATCATCCGAGCTCCGATCCTATTCTTTCTTCCATTATGATGACATAGTTGGGTTCCATTCGCCGTTCTGCACGTGGAAGACAGCTGCATTGGCCATTGATTCGATGGAGCTTGCTCAACTATAGTACTGCCATGCCACACTAGGCCGTTTTGTCAAATCCAGGCCTGGTGGGGATGGCATTCTGTGTCAATTGACTTAAAATGGTCAATTTTTACGCTGATTGACACTGATTGAAACATGTGATAATACCATCCAGTGTAATTTGTGGTGTGCTACTGCCTTTAAAACCCAGCTTCAAGAGGCTGGCAACACATACCAAGACTGTTTTGTTGGCGCCAATCTCGGCACCAAATTTGTTGTGATTCTGTGAAGAGGCTTGCTCCAGCGTATCATTGCCTGGCACAGTCAGCTGCAGCAGATGTGCTGCCCGCGTGTAAGATGCGGAGCGAATTCATGCCGCGGACTCCATGCAGCCAAGCATGATTCGAGGGACCCAGGGGCTCCAGCACTGGAGTCGTCCAAAGGCATCAAGCCAAAGCGGGCGGAGGCACTGACTGCAAGAGGAGCCTGTCTCAGTTGCACAAAGTTGAGCTCTTCCAATGCGGACCCAGCCAAACTTTGAGAACTTGAAACAGGTTTTGGGACGAGCTCCTAGAGAAAGTGTCTAAGTTTGTACGTCCTTCCCACAAGTCGCACTCAAAGGATTGTAGCGAAGACGATGTCAATTGTGCCAGAACAGGCTCCGTAATTACTTGACGACACGCCTTTGTGCTGGGAATCGCCTTTGTGCTGTGACAATCTCACAAGAGTGACAGTGAAGTTTGAGGCGGATATTTGATTGTGATTCAAGGATTGTCACTGGGCGGACCGAAGTTGAAAGAAGTTGAAATCGTTTCATCCTCTTGCTTGCGGCGAGCAGAGGGTGCACACAGTCTCAGGCTGAAAGAACGATTGGGAGAACAAACTACCCAAACCCGCCCCAAACACCCTCACAGAATGTGGATTCTTCAAAAAATTGCGGGACTGCAGGACTTGGTTTGTTTTGACTCACCAGCATTGTTCGGAGCATCCGACTCCTATATAATATCCTATACTATGTATACCAAATCCAGCTTGGTGACTGTGCTGATCCAATGGCTCTCGGGTTGGAGCTGCCATGATAAGTCGGCTCACAAGCTGAAAAAGCAAAGGCGTGTCAGTAGGAGGCTTACGAAGCCATGTCAGGGAAGTCAGGGAGAAGCCGAAGCTCGTGCTATCCGACAGCAAATCAACAAAGCATGCATCTAGTACAGTATGGAATACGGAAGACCATGGAAGCACCGGATTGACATCCCTGGGTGCGTAGGAAAGAAATGGAAAGAATAGGCTGGTGTTTTGCCGCTTACTTCGATGATGGAGTGCGCCCGAACGGGAGACACATGCTGAAGTGCAATGTGGCTGTGTACATGTGTAAACTAGTCCTTTTCAAGCTCTGGATTTCGCTGGAGAGCCATGGAGATCAGATGAGACCACTTGGCAATTTGCCTGGAAAGCCTGTTTGTGACAGCGGATTCCTGTGGCTGAAGATGTCACAGTCTTGGCGACAGATGTTCGCCTGGGCTTTTCGGCAGGGGTTATATACTTAGCGTTTTGCAACAAACAGACTCATGCGATCGAGTGTTTCAAAAGGTTGCCAGCAGTTCTCAGCTCTGTGAGCAAAGAGTGAGGATGGGAACCTGAGGAGTGCATACCCCAAAAGCGTCGAATGAACATTGGGATGGACAGAGCGAATTGCAGATTGAGATTTACTCAAGTCTATCGGTTTATCATGGCTTCATGAGATGCACGCCTGCACTGAAGTAAAGCAGACCAGTGGAAACAGTTGCAGGTTGGAGGGGAAACAACGAGATTTTTTTGTTTTCCAATTGTCAAACTACAGGGGTCCAGGCATGTTTGGAAACCACGTAGATTTGGAGCCAAAGAAACTAAGGTGGAACCCGATGAACAATTAACACATGTAGGTAGTTTACTGTGTTGTCCACATAATAAATCGTTTTCACAAGCAGCATTTACGCTCCCTTCATGTATATATTCCAAACCTCTATGGATGGTATTTGTGCAGCCAAGAAGCTCGTTTTTGCAGGCAGAAGGGGCGGGCTACACAGGCGATGTGGGATAGACGGGCTCCCGAGTCTGCCACATCCCGAGTCGACACAGCAAATGAATGGCCTGCTCCACGCAGGACATGCTCCACACGCGAGGAATTGGAGCTCTTCATATCTCTTCATAAGTCTCTTCATAATCTACAAAGCAGAGGGGCATAGTGCAGCTGTACACTCAGCACATGACCACGGGACATGTCAAGGCAAAGGTTTTGGCATGTACACTCAGCGTGTCCGTGGGCCCAATTTGGGCAACGTCCATTCTTTATATAAACTCTTTTGAACAGCTGGTACAAAGCCCCAAAACCATTGCAGGCAGTCTTGGCTAAGCGGCTTTGCTCAGGGTGTTTGGTGCATTGAGACGCCCCATCTCAGGAAAGTGCACTGTGGACTCCGTTCGTTTAAATGGTTCAGTTCGTTACATGCTTTGCTTCCGTGTGTTCCATGACTGCCGATAGAAGACCGGATCCATGTTGCCTTCGTCAGGTCTTGTTTCGGGGAACGGCTTGTTGGTCGGACCGCAGGTCGTGTCTTTGCCCAGTGAAGGATCGATCCGCTGTAGATCTGGCCAGTGAACGATGGGAGGGGACGAAGGCATCAAGACTGTCACTTTGTGAAGAACCTGTGTGTTGACCATGGCTTGATACATTCTGACACTCATACTGTAGCTTGTTTTTTTCCAACGATTGATACAGGTCTGAATCTGTTTGAAGTGCGTCAAATGCCGAAAATGCCCGCCTGCGGTGTCAGAACTTCAACGGAGTTGCTTCACTCCCTTGACAGCGAAGTCATAAACCGCACTGAAGGGAGCACATGGGAGCACAGTTTTACACTCCATGTGCAACAAATTGCTTATATTAAGATTGCTAGGTCAAAGAGGACCAGATCAGATGTAATGTTGCGCGACCCTTGTACGTCCCCACCGAGAGCCATTCTGTTGAAAGGGTTTGGAGTCTGGAGTTTTGAGTCTTCGCTTGGCGTGTGGCAGAAACTGGTACAAGCCATGGAGAAGATGATGTCGACACGAAAAGGACTCTCGCCGACTCTCGCAGCTGCAGTGGCAGAAACGATCTAGAAAGCCTTATATAATTGTTACTAGTAGCTTCCTGTTCCTAGTACTAAGGCCAGAGTAGCTTCTTGCTGCCAGTAGAAATGCCCTTGTTACTATTAGCTTCTAGTTACTAAGAAGCTTCAAAGACCTATAAAAAAGCTTCATTGTTACTACTGGTGAAACGATTAACGATTCATTTCGGGTCAGCAGAACCTATGGGTGCTTTCGAGGGGTCCAAATTGTGTGCTGTATGATGGGTGTTGGTCTAACAGGCATAATTACATGAGTAGTCCGTGGTATGCAGTCGAAAGCCTGGCCAATTGGGATTTGAGGCACGCCATCAGATTCTTTGGTTGATGCGAGTTATCTCATTCGCACACGTTCTTTCCCTAGAGTTTTCTGCTCATTTGTGGTTGGAAAGGATTGAAGGGAGGTCTATGATGTTGGTGGTACAAGGAGTTCTTTCAACACTAGAATGGGTATGTGGAACTCTGGTTGAGCAGACCGGGGCGGCCTGGTGGAGTATTCTGATCGACCGGGATCGGTTGAAGGTGACCTCTCAATGACAATGAGGTGTGGCCCACAAGTAGACCGCCTTCATGGAGGTTCTTCCAATATCCTCTGGTCCTCCTGAAGCAGTCACATGCTGAAAATCATGTGGGATGACCCCTAGTATAATACATTCCATGTCCACATTCATGTTGATGTTCTTCGTTCCTAGTATGATACATGTGTGTTGTCCGCACCTCTTCCATCCACGTCACAGCTAGACGCCCGCGAAGGCACAAAAAACGACCGCGCTCTGCGTCTCGAGACCGTTTGGCTCAGTCCCGGGGTCCCCGCCGAAGAGCGGCGAGAGTTGGCCCTGAAAAAGACTGAGGCCGTTTGGCTCGTCTTTGGCTCGTCCGTGAGTCCCGTACGCGGCCCATGGGTCGGTCGCAGAGCGCTCATTGAGAGCTGAGAGCTGAGGGGGGGGCGAAAAGGGAACTGAACTGTGTTTTGGTCCAGTTTTCATTCATGAACAGGTGCTACCCCGGCAAACCAGAGTCGTGGGGAAGTAGGAATTTTCTGACATGGAGATGGAAGGAGATTCATGTTGAGGAGGACTCCAGAAAATTGTACTTGGGAGAGAAACGAAGCAATCGTGAAGCTGGTACATGCTGGTACTGTAAAGGATATTTTGGACTCCAGGTCAAACATCCTTGGCTTTATTTAAAGCAAAAGTATTCAGGGTCGGGTTGTTGAAGTTTGTTGCCATTATTACCTTCAGAATTTCACGAAGGAGTTCCACTTTTGATTTTGGAGAACCAAGGAAACACAATTGAACATCATCGTAGACAGTATAGACAGACAATTGCTTGAGAACCGTCAATGAACAATTGAGAGAAGCAATGTTCAATAAGAGACCGACATTAACGACCACGTCTAATTATATACTTTCTTTGGGGATACTGTACTTTATCTAGCTTTCGTCAGTGTTGTTTACTAGTGTTGAGATTCGTCTAGCTTTTCAGTGGTGAATTATGAATCACAGGTGGAATGTCCTACAACCTTCCTTCATGTCATGTTACTTGTTGGGAGCTGGTTTTCGAGGAGTAGGACAGCTTGATGAGCACTGAGGGGTGGTCAGATGCCGGTTTGAGGGGACAGCTACACAGAGTCCTGCGCAGGTGATGCCGCAAGGGCATCGACAGACAAACAGGACGCTGATGATCAGTCTGGGAGCACTCCTGGACG